CCCCTTCCTCACCCCAGCCCACCCTTTTGCCGTTACAGCTTGGCTACGTAAGCTCGAACCACTGACGGCAAGACTGACAATAAGTCTCGTTCGCAAAGGACCGCACAACCCATACAAGTTTTCCGTCTCTCGCTCGAACCAACTGGTGGAAACTTCTTTCACAAATTCGTCAGTTTGCGAAACTCATCTCGTGCGTTTGTGTGCGTTTGTGTCCGCAGGTGCGGCCTGATGTGCCTGAGTGAGGCGGCGCTGGAGGGCGCTGCCGCGCTGCCGAGCCGCCGCGGGCTGAGGAGGCCGGCGCCGGCGGCGGGGAGGCCGTGCGGCCCGTGCTGGCCGAGGCCGTGATGGGCGACTCCTGGGCCGTCGAGTGGAGGCCTCTGCTGCCGCTGCCCGCCGCCGCCGGGCCGCGAGCCTGGGCCGTGCCTCACCCCGCGCACGGAGCATCGAAACAGGTCAGTACAACATTTGTCTCTAACTGGCCGCGGCTTGATGTTACAGAAACTGTGCTGTGCCGGGCGGCTCAGTTGAGTTCCGCAAAAAACAAAAAAACAAAAAGAACAAAAACTGCCGCGCTCTTAAAAGGAGTTGGTTTTCTCGGCGATCCCTCCTTATCGACTAACCTTTCTTTTCCAGAGTGCATGACCCGGGTCAAAAGGGCCCTGCCCTGTGCGCTGCTCACTGCAGGGGTACTTTTCTTTTTCATTAATTCCGTTTTTAGCGGTCACGGGGTTGCCGCGCGGCGGGTCAAACAAATTTGTTTCTTATCGGCGCCACCCCGCGCGCGACCCGGGCCGGTGCGCCGGTTGGGGAAGGCACGCCGCCACAGCGCCGCAGTGGGCCGTCACGCCACCCGGGTGAGCCACGCGGAAGAGAGACGTCGGCGTCGCGTCCCCCTCCCCCCCCTCCCTTTCTCTCTCCTCTCGCTTCCCTTCCCTCCCCGTTAGAATCGATCCCCCTCGCCTCGGCGTGCCACGGGCCGTGTCGTGTCTTGTGGCTCATGTGCCTGCATGGTCTAGTGTCTGGGCTCCCTAGACTATGCCCCCCGCTGCTCCACCGCTAGAGGCCAATAGCCCCGGCCGACCCCACCCCTACCCCCGGAAGCCGGGAAACTGTGTGTCCTAGTTTTGGGGGCACACTTATTACTATCCCGACAAGGAAATCGAAAATAATCGTTTGCTCTGTAATACAGCATTCATGGAGCGCGATTTTGACGATAACGGCAGTCCGATCCATGCGACAGAAACTGGGAGACGCGGAACTGGGCGAAAAATGATGGGGGTGCTTATTTGTGCAGGTGGAGATGGTGTCGTTCGGCGTGGACCCGCAGTGGGGCGGGCTGCTCTTCTCGCTGTGCTCCCGGCACGAGGACGCCGGCGCCGTCCTGGGCGCAGGCGGGGGCGTCATCTTCCCCAACATCCTGGCCGACCCCTTGGCGGCGTCCTCGGCCGTGCCGGGAGCTGGCGGCGACCTCGTCAACGTCCTGGGGTCCGGCTACCTCGACATGCACAGCGTGTCCGTGTCCTCCGTGTGGGCCATCATCGTGGAGACGGGTAAGCCGCCGACGTGAAACTTGTCGGCGAGATTTAATTATTTTTTTGTTTCGAGCGCCCCCTACTGATGCGATTTTTCCCGCAGCCAAGGCGACCGGCATGGTGGTGCTGCTGGGCGTCGGCTCGCTGCTCTTCTACCGCGTCTTCCACTCCATCCGGAGCCGGCTGCACGGCCTCAAGGTGGGGCCCACCTCGGGCCGCAGGGTGTCCGCGCCGCGCTCGCTCACCTCCTCCGGCGAGGACAGCGACGGCGAGAGCTCCGAGGACGAGGCGGCCGCGGCGGTGCGCGGCTTCGAGACGCTCGCCGAAGACGCCGAGATCACGGTAGGCAGTCGCGGGGGTTCGACCGAGCGGGCTCGCCCTCCCGGATGATGACGTTGTTGACCCGCGGCGTGACCGTGTTGCAGGGCATGTACTTCGGGCCGGGCGCGGACTCCTCCATGGACGGCAGCACCACCTCGCTGACGTGCCCCGCGGGCGGCCGCGCCCCCGCCAGGGCCCCAGGGCTGGCCGCGGCGGCGATGGGGAGGGCCGCGGCCATGCGTCGCGCCCGCCGCCTCAGCCGACGGGTGAGTGGCAGTCAACTCGATGACAATGTGTGCGTACAAGTAGCGGGGGTTGAAGAAGACAAGCGGTTCTAGTACAAAAGGAGTCTGATTGGCCGGGTCCCTTTTTGTCCCACTCACTTGTGCTCTTCACGCACCCGGACGGCAAAACATTCACAAACATTAGCATGATCAATTTTGACACTATCTCGACGTATATTCCGAAAGACGGCAAAATTTTCGCAATTTACCACCGAAGTGGTTACTGACATTCTCCATTTCGCCCGCTGCCTCGCAGAGCGTTCAGGACGACGAGCAGGCCCGCGACGCGGACGTGTCGTCGGGCAGCCGATCGCCGCGGACGCCGCCGGAGGAGCGCGTGTCCGGTCCGAGCCGCGGGGGCGCGCCGCTGTGGCAGCGCGGGGCCTCGCTGTACCGCCGCGCCTACAGGCCGCCGCCCACCCGCGGCAGCAGCAACGCCAGCACGCCCTGCAGCACCCGCTCCACCTCGTCGTCGTCCTCGCTCTCCCCGGAGTACCCGCCGTACCGCAGCCACACCGGCGTAAGCGCACAACCATGTAACGACCGATAAGAGACGGTGTCCAGGTGTGGTGCACGGCGCCTGCTCAAAACTGATTCGATAGAAGCGTGATATCTTTTGGACACTGTTTCTTTGTCGTTTTGAATGTTCTTTTGGCTGCTCCCCCGTCTCACACTCTCCTGCCCTGCACAGGACGCGCGCCGCAGCCGACGCCAGCGCCTGGAGGCCCCCGTGTCGCGCGACGACTCCCTGGACGGCGGCCTCCCCGACCCGCGCGACGGCGTGCTCCGCGGGATGCGCGGGCTGAGCCGCGAGGACTCGGCGGACTCGCTGGCGCGCAGGTTCATGGCGCGCGACGAGTCCTTCGAGTCGCTGTTCGCCTACCAGCAGGGCCGCAGGAGGTGAGTGGCCGAGGCCGCGGCTGCTGTCGGTCGTGTCGCCTCCTCCACGCTAACGCCGAGCTCGTCGTGCCGCAGGTCGCTCTCGCGCAACCCGTCCACGGACTCGCTGTGCACGCCCTACCCGGCGCGCCGCCTGCCCCGCAACGAGTCGGTGGACTCGCTCGGCTTCCCGCGCCACGCCCTGACGCGCGGCTCCTCGTTCGACTCGACCTGCTCCGAGATGAGCCTGGACGTGTCGCTGATCGCCGAGCTCGAGGCCAAGGCCGACTCGGCCGGGGCCGGCGGCGCCACCCTGGACCAGCTGGAGCAGCTGCAGCGCGAGATCGACCAGCTCAAGTCCAACTGTCTGAGCCTGGACGAGGAGTTCGAGACAGTGCGCTGCAACCGGAACCTCCCCGGCATGTCGTCGCTGCTCGAGGTCAAAGGTATGGGTCTGACGTGCAGCGCCGCGTCGCGCCCCGCATCGGCCTCGTGCGTCACGTCCCCTCGAAACAAAAAGCGAAATCATCTACTTTTCGTAACCTTGGTGTCTCGCCACCTGGTCACTGGGAGTACACAACTCACGACAGTGGTCTGTTGGGGCGTGCCGGCACCCCACCCCTCACGTGCCCGACGGCAACCCCCC